AATACACCTCGTTAATCATGAATTAATTTTCTTATGCATCACACTGTTTCCACTATTACTACATTTCTTTTATTTTTATGATTAAATGAAATTCAGTTTTTATAACATGTCTTTTTTTTTTAAATAAATTCCAGTTTTTAACATGCAAACACATTTACATTTTTAATATCCTTACCTACCTATCCTAACCTTAATTGAATCACATCATGAATTATTAATGCTTTTCAAATGTTTAAATGGCACCATTAACCACATGAACTGTACTTAGCTCCCATTTACTGTATTTCTATACTGGATTGCAATAACATTTGATTGTGGTTGGAAAAAATGCAAAAAAAATGTCAATCTCAGTAACAAAACAACCATTAACTGTGATATTGAATGAAAACATTTAAAAAATGTATAGTTTGATACACATAAGGTTTGCAAAACCATAACTGGTTAAGGTTAGCACCAGTGTGCAGCTTTACTCCCTATAAGTTGCGTTTTGCCCCATGGTGGCAAGTATAGGTATAGCGGTTACTCATTTCAAGTTGAAATGGTGCCATACAAATCTTATATAAAGGAGATAATAAAATAAAATTATATGGGGTCCCTGTTTTTACCTCTACAAATGCCAAGTCTCTACACAACTAAGTTCATCACTAATAATAAGAGGGTAACAGTTTATGGACATTCAGGAAACCCTGTTTTCATGTTTTTTTGGGGGGAGATTAAAACAAGAATATACGGTATACCATCAATGATAAGGACAAAAAAACCAGTAGTGGTAGCAAAACAGCAAAACTGAGGGATTGCACATACTATAACAATCATAGAAATGAAAAATCATATACTCAGCACAAAACTGATCAATAATACATTTAAATGCATCTTCCACTGTATTCTGAAAAGACAATGTCTTTATAAATAACTTAAATTTGTGATTTTTGACTCTTTTTTGTACAGCCTCAGTTGTTAATCCGGAGTATTCCAAACTTTAATGATTGGTTCAAACATGAGTAGATAAACACAACTTAGAAAATATATTTTTATGCTTTCCATTCCATATTTCAATTATTAAACATTCTGTTATCTCAACAATAAATAAAATGCTTAGAGATTTGCAAGTAACAGATTTGTGGATAAATAAAGCGACTCCATCTCATGTTTTTACTTCTCTCTTCATACATGTTAGCTCTTAACCATCAAGAAAAAACTGCATGACTCTGTTTTTAGTTAATCCAGGTTTCTGTAATTGTTATAATAAAAAATGACCAATTTAACTTGCACAAATTTACGTTTATATAATTGAAATTACTCTACATACTTCTACTGTTAAAGTTTAATATTGATAGTTTATTTTTATTGTTGTATTGATCTTCAGTAATATAATCATAATTAGTCACAATAGTGGAAAGACAATCATTGTCAGGGTGTATATCAGGTTGATGTCAGATGATTTTACGTAATATATTCAAATCATTGCTGATGGTAGTGCAGGTACAGGTAACATTAACCTATTGTTCATATTTAACATGAAGGGTTGTGGAGTCTTCTGTTCTATTATTTAGGCCTCTCTCTGACATATTTGTCAATTTCCTCGTTCCTTCTCACCATCAATGCTTTGGCATCCTCTGTGCTTCTGTTGAGTCAAATTAAAATCTTGCAGTTAGACACCCAGGTGTGTGGATATTTTGCAGCTTTCTAAGCTGTGTTGCTTTCTATTTTTTGCAATGTCAGTGGAGATTGTAGTGGAGGAAAATGTAATAAGACTGTAAGTAATACTAAGAGGGGTTTGTTAAAAAATATATTTATGAAATATACATATAAAAGTGTTTTCGTATAGGGACCAGCCCCATCGCGAACCTGACCAAGTAAGCAGGATCAGATCAATGGATTGAAGGATGTTTGTATTTTCTTCCAAATTGTAACTTCATTGCTTATGTTTTCTCACATAAAATCATTCATTTAAATTTTATTTTTAAGATATAAATCTGTCAGGGATAAAAGGATTTTTTTACCTGAAAGAATGATAATTTCAGATGGTGAGAAAGATTTCCAGTTTTCCTGATGAACAGCATCATCAGAATGATCCTGAACCCTTTCAGAGTGAATCAGATCATTTCCATAGAGCCACTTTGCATCAGCAGCTCCATGCTCCAGCGCTCTGGGAGAGTTTATAGTTCTGAGAGTAGAACACTGACAGCTGTCCTGATAACAGAAGACAGAGAAAACATGAGTTTTATCAGTTTCCTCATCTGGACTCTCCTTTGTCTCACCCAGGGTAAGGAAAATAGTATTCTGTTTTGTAAAAATAATTTATACTTTAGCCGAGTTTCACCTCACAATCTAATTTCCAGTATTTCTTCTCTCCTCTCAGGGTCTGATGGACAAAATGTGGTTGTGACTCAGCCAGCAGCCAAATCAGTGCAGCTTGGTCAGACCGTTGCTATTGACTGTAAAGCTAACAGAGTAGTAGCTTGTAGCACACCCTGCCTGTCCTGGTACCACCAGAAAGATGGAGAAGCTCCAAAAGCTCTGATCTATCAGACATCTTCCAGATTTTCAGGAATCTCCTCCAGATTCACTGGAAGTGGAGCAGGAAATAATAAAGACTTCACTCTGACCATCAGTGGAGTTCAGGCTGAAGATGCAGGAGTTTACTACTGTCAGAGTGCTCACTACATCAACAGTCAGTGGGTGTTCACACAGTGAAAAACAGTCGTACAAAAACCTGCCTCAGTCAAACTGAGCAGAAACTCCAGCTGAATGTCACAGCAGACTCTGACACAGATCACTAAACACACACAGAGTAACAATAATTTGATCTAAATATCTTTCCTCAAAATATATCTATAGAGCACACATAAATGGAAGAAAACATTGTTGACAACTCGATGCAGATTTATCTCTCCTGCCTGAACAGATTCTTTGAACAGTAAAAATATTGTTTAAGCCTCTAATTCTGGTTCAGACAAAATAAGGCTTTAAGAAAAACAAATAAAAAAACTTTAATTCAGCCAAATATTGAATCTAAAAACAGCTTAATTAGAAAATAAAGCTGATCAAACCCTCTAGCTGCTCATTAATTAAACTAAAAATAGCAATTGACTCTAAATGGTTTCAGAAGCAGTAGATCAAACTCTGAACACCACTGAAGTTCAAGCTAAAGATTCTGTCAGAGCAGATAGTTTGAACAACAATAGAAAAAAAATCAATAAACTAACTAGAATGAATGGAGACACAATTGATAATGCTAACAGAAACCAAACAAATGACAATGTGAGATTTCTTTTACTGTTTTATTTATAAAGACATGGTTTGAAACCTACAGTATTTTGATTAGATATCAGATTACATTTAAAAATTATTGTACTGTAGAAAGAAAAAAAAAAAATTTTTTTAACCTGGTTTTAATAAAGGATAACATTTTTGAAACAATATAAAAGTCTTTCCAATACTACTACCTCTGACACAGATAAACATGAATAATCTGTGGTCATTAACCTATATAATGTTGAACGTGCGCCGAGTATCTCAGTGAATTTGCTTTTAATTAAGATGACAACAGAATAAAGCACAGTTTTGACACAAAACCATTTTGTGGAAAAATCACTTTGACTGATTTTATGACATCACTAAACAGGCTTTCAGTCAATTTTTATCTTAAAATTCATCAGATTTACCATCTTACAAAGTTAAAAATATTTTACAAATATTGCTTTATAGCATCTTTTATTTTGATTTCATTGTTTAAATATTTCAAAGCTGCAGTAAAGATGTGGAATATTTAAAAAAAAAAAAAAAAAAAACAACTTTATCTTTATATAGAGATATACATAGTTGTCTTCTAATGTATATGAAAAACATTTAATTTGTTTACAAAGTAAAATATTTGAAGAGGAAACCATAATGTGAAAAAAAAAGTTTGAACCATTTTCTGACTGTCATGATCGGTTTAGAGATAAACCCACATGCAGAACACCACTGGAGACTTGGTAAAAGATTTAACAGAGTTTATTAAAGTTTCACACAAAGACAAAAACAAGATTCAGGTTCTGGTCCGGGCAGGATTCTCTGGCGTCTGCAGAGACGGATAGTTGGTTAGCTTGGTATGCAGATGAGTTAAATGGGTTATCAGATATTTCAGTGGATACCTTGAAGAGGTCCAGGTTAATTCTGAGAGAGGGAACCGGTTGGCTCCAGGGACTGTTGGTTCAGCAGAGTGCTTAGGCAGCAGCAGCGTCTAGCTTCTGACTTCTAGTGAAAAGACCTTGGTTGGAGTGATTAGCTCTTTCCTAAGAGCAGCTGGTGGATTCCAGAGTGAGGTCTTCAGGTTTGGCTCTCTAGGGCAGGCAGGCAGGTTACAGGTTAAGCTCATCCAGAGCTTCTCTCGAGAGACTGGTTTCCTAGGAGCGAGAAGACAGAGGCAATTAGAATTTGGTTTCTCTTAGAAGATAACGATTAGTAAATTCAGAGGCTCAGGTTCGCTGACCAAACTTGGCTAACACTGTGGCGTCGAAGGAAGGTCTGGCAGCTGCTTATAAAGGCCGGTCTCCTGATGAGCTGATGAGCGTCAGCTGTGCTGGAGGCCTCCAGCCCAGGAGGATCCACAGCGCACTCTGCTGGAGAAGGTGGAGAATCTCCAGATCCCAACACTGACCTTTTGTTGACGGTTAGTTTCAATCCTAACAGAACTTTATGCCATAGAGAAGAATAATCGTCTCTAAGTTCTCTTATGACCGAAACTAGATGTTCCACGTTAAACCATGTTGAACTAATTTGGGAAAAATTGTATAAAAATGTCTTGTCATGAACACAAAATGGTGATTTGTTACTAATTGATCTTTATTGACTCCACATAGAACAGATGTGATGGTTTATGTTTTTTATTATGTTGAAAAATTGAGGATCTTGAGAAGAAAAAAAAGGTTCAAAAAGGAAATCTGATACACATTTTACAGCTGATACACTTGGACGTAAAACACTTTAAAAAGTAGCAGAGTGAAAAAAAAGAAAACAAGTCAGGTTGTTACTGGGAACACTGGTCTCTCCTCAGTGTCTCTGTGACTGCAGACTGGGAGCCCTGGGTGGCCTCACAGGTCACAGAGCCCACCTTCCTCCACTGGTCTGCAGGGAGCCTCAGGGTGCTGCTCCAGCTGTAGAGGCCGTCCTTCTGCAGCACTCCTCGGCTCTTGTTCTCCTCCCAGCTGAAGCTGCTAATGCTGCCCTCCACCTTCCAGGACAGACTCCAGTCTGAGGGGAAGCCCTTGTTGGCCAGACACATGAGGGTGGCCTTCCCCTGCTGCAGCTCCTCACTGGAGGGGGGCAGCACTGTCAGGGTGGGACGAGCATTTTCCACTAAAGAGAAAAATTGCAGAGTACAGGTAAAAGTCCTTGAAGTTTCATTTCCTGCTCTGTCTTTTGTGTCTATGGCAACACCCTGCATCACTGCTCAACCAGAGCAACAGACAGGTTTCAGTACCGCACATTAAAACTGACATATCTTCTTGAATGTTTCCATGTATGTTGGAATTTGCTCTATTTTCTAAATCTGTATTAATGTTCTAAAATAGTTTGATAATCTTATTTCGTTGTTGCTTTAACTAGATCTCTGCTAATACCTGAACATCACATACTGAAATTATTTTCACAATGATCTTTTATTTTTTCAATGTCAATTCTTCGTTTACAAAAAAGAGGAAAGTTCAGATATTTTTACTGCAAAAATCCTTCATCAACACATCAGAGAAAATATAACTGAGCCCAAGAGTATGCACACGATAAAACTGATATTATGGGTTTGCATACATCCCACGCTAACAAAATACATAAAATCATTTCCATAAGACATACATTAGTTTAAATTGATTAAATTGTTTCAATATCAAAGAAATAAAGATGACAAAATAGCAGCTTATTTTCACTAATGACTAACTTATTTATTTATTTTTTAAAGTAACTAAATCCAGTAAGAAATAAGTTCCGGTCAGAATAATAAGAGATAAAAATAAATAAATAACAAAGAACATTTGTTTTAATGAATTAGTTGTACTTACAGTTAACATTCAGTGTGGTTCCTCCACCAAACGTGTACCACAGTGATACAAACTGATGGAGCCGTCGTACAAAAACCTCTGACTGTTAAAGACACGGCTCTCTGACTCTGAACACAAACACATGAATGACAGTAAGAACATTTAATATAAGATAAAAAAAACTAAAAAGAAAACTGCGGCTCATTATTGAAATAAATTATCTTTCTTGAATAATATTCTTGTGCTGATTCTCTCTTTTTATTTTGTTTATTAGATAATTGATCAGTTTTTCTGTCATCAAGAATTTAGATCTCTGTTAGTATCTCTTATATACTTTGTCACTCCATCTGACAAACATTCCTTGAAACTCTAAATGGTGGACACTCTTTTATCGAAATTTAATAAAAAAAATAAAAAAAATGGTTTACAAAAGTGACAAAAATTTCCCATAGACAGGTGGCTATAGATAGCCTGTTTAGTGGACCAAAGGTGGAATTCATTCAAAACCTTATATCTGTCAATCACAGAGCAACACAGACTAACATGCATAGAAAAGGTAATAATGTCAATTAACTGCCAGTCATGTTTATAACTGAATGAATTAATAAATAATAATTAAACTTTATATTATTGCAGTGCTTAAGGTGGCTATTTCTTACCTTAAGAATTTAGAAATAGTATAATTAAATAAAAATCAATTCTATGATAGAAAATAAACAGTGAAAAGCTTTTTGTCAACAAAAAGAAGATAATTTCACTGCATGATGATGGATGTATAGACAGAAACCCGTCAGTGTTCAGGGGGAAACATGATGACTCCATGTGACTGACTATGTGTGTTTGCATATGTGTCCTCCCTCTCTGCTCCCAGCTGTTAAGAGGTCAACGTTGATCAGAGGCTGTCCAGGCCTTTCAGAGCAACTGTACCACCAGC